TATGTTATAAACACTGTTTATGTGCATGCCTTTCACGTTTTATTTCTGAAGCTTTGAATTGTTGTCATCCTTTACCATTTTCGGGACTTTTCTGCGGACAGTTTGATTACGTTTTAGGTTGTTTGTTGTAAATGGGCTTTGCGATAAAGCCACTTTATGGTTTGAATTTATTACTTTTTGATATATTTAATGCTTTCTTATAATTCTATTAGTTTCATTGTTTGTTGGTTTATTTTATGCTATTCTTCTGTCCCCCTCACTTCTGAAATGATGGCTACGCCCCTGAGTGGAGCAATCACATGGGCCGTGAGCGACTGAGCGGAGCGCACACGCAAAGAGCGGGATAATACGCAGAGCGTCACACCACGTTAAAGTGAATCCTGAGCAGTGAACAAATTTTCGGCAGCCGGAATTTCAGTGCATCTCTAATTATTGGCGACATCAGAAATGGATATTATATAATAGCTGCTTTTATGAACATTTTAGCAATTTAAAAATATATATTTTTTTAAATGTCTTTTTTTACATGGCACCCCTGCTCTCGACAGACGGCACCCCGGTTGGGAAACACTGTACTAGTGTTAAATGCTACTGTTTTGACAGCGTTGATAAAGTTTCTGACCGAATGTGGTATCCTGTCAGCAATAACCTGACTATGGGCTTTTCTGATTACTGTCAGTGCTGTAATCAGAGTGCGTGCGATGCGTTGCCAGATATTGCTATTAAAACAAACCAAAACCGAACAATAAATAAAAATAAACCGAAATTATTTCAAATATTTTGCAACTAAGATAATATAAAGATATCGCTGACCCTAAACTGCAACTTCTCACTTTATTAACTTTCTATAGAGTGTCAAATTAAGTGGAAAAGACAAGTCCAAAAACGTTTGGATCTGGCAACACGGAGATTGCGCCCGCCCCACGCCCTCACTCACAGTTCACTCTGCCGCAGCAGTGTTGCCAGACGTACGATAATTATAGTATTTGTACGATAATTTTGACCTCTGTACAATGTACGATCAATAATGAAAAAAATCCTATAATGTAAGGTAATTTCAGAATTTTATGGCACTTCAAATGATTTTCATTGTAATCTTAGGGCTTAGTTATTGATCTAGCTGTGCATCATTCCACTACTGTCTGTGAGGAGAACGTGGTGTTACGCACATTTTCTATCTCATCTCACGTTACGTCTTCTCAGCCAGAGAGCCAATCAAATTGGAGAATGACTCTCTCTCATGTGCACAAGTTAATGTTCATGCCGCGGCTGCGCTTAGGTCAGTCAGTTGTTTCCAAGTTGAGGTCGATAGTTTAAGCAATAAAGTATCGAAAATGAGTGCTGAAAAGGAAGGTGAAGACGGGGAGAGGCTAAGAGGAAGGCAGAGTATATGGAGCAGCCTAAAAGTAAGCACCGACAGCAAACATACATAACTGAGTGGGAAAAGGACCCCAGTTTTGCAGGATGGCTAAGACCTGTTTCAGGCAATGACACCAAAGCCTTCTGCCAGTGTTGTAATGTGCAGATGGTGGCTGAGATCACTGTTTTAAAAAATCACGAAAAGTAAAAGAAACATCAGGACAAAAAGAAAAATCTAGCCCCAGCTCAAAGGTCCATAGCCCAGTTGCTGCAGAAACCGTCGGAGAGTGAGTTAGATACAGCAGTGAAAAATGCAGAGATAAAGCTAACAGGGTTCATGGCAGAGCACAACATAGCATTAAGGACCTCGGACCATTTGGTTGAGGTCTTGAAAGATATATTTAAAGATTCAAAAACAGCTCAGCACATGTGCCTTGGTCGCACAAAGACAACGGCTATAACCAAGCATGCCATTGGCGACTGTTACTTTGATAGTCTAACCGAAATCCTGAAAAGGAAAAAATTCAGTGTTTTGATTGAGGAGTCAACAGACATCGGGAATGTAAAAACGCTTTGTGTCGTTGTTCGTTTTTTCGATGAAGGCATAAATAGGATTCAGACCCATTTCTGGAAACTGGTACAGATCCATTCAGACCCAGAACAGAAAGACTTTCTATTAGACTTAGAAAGACTCAGAAAGACTTTACAACGAGATGATGAAGTCATTCACCGATGCAGATGTACCGATTGAAAACATAGTGGGGTTCGTTCGGGTCGGATGGCTGCAATACAATGATGGGAAAAAATTATTCTGTCTCCAGCCGCCTTAGAAATGATCTGCCAGGCATTAGGGTTGTGACGGTGAGGACATTTTCACACCGGTTAATCGACGTGTGACAACACCGGTAATACCGGTATCACCGTTGGGGGGGAGTTCGTTTGTTTGAGTTTCCCTCTTTTCTTCGCTTTCAAATGGCTTGTAAAAGTGCCGTGCGCATTTTACTTTCACTTTCAAATTAGCGGCAATTGAATTGCCACAATTCGGTGTCAAGCAATTGTTCGTTTGAGTTTTCCCTCTTTTCCTCTGATTTCTTGACTTTCAAATAGCTTGAAAAAGCGCTGTGCGCATTTTACTTTCACTTTCAAATTAGCGGCAATTCGGCGTTGATTCAATTCAAGCAACAACAACATCAAACTCATAGAACTTTTATTAACAAAACGAATAAAAATACACTATATATGCCTAATAAAATAACAAATGACTTAGGCTACACAAAGTGAAAATCAGCAAACACTGTGGAACCAAATAAATAAGAAACATAGAACGTTTATTAGCAAAACGAATAAGAAAGCTTGAAGGCACAGCATATACACCTTGATGTAAAATAAAATAAATAAAATACACAAAGTTTAAATAAAGTAATCAGCAAACACTGTGGAACCAAATAAATAAGAAACATAGAATGTTTATAAGCAAAATGAATAAGAAAGCTTGGAGGCACGGCATACACCTTGATGTCAAATAACGAATGTTTAAAAAAACGTCCAGTCAATAGGCTTTTCAAAATCTAAAATATTGCTAAACAGGCGCCTTTGCATTTCCTTTCTAAACAATCTTTTGCTATTGTCTTGTCTTTCTCACCTCACTCTTGTCAGTCAGCTCGACTCACTTTCCTCACGTGATAAATAAAATCTGACTCCTGCTCCGTGGTGCACTGTCGTTCGCGCACCACGCGAGCGTTTCTGCATTGTCGTTCGCGCACTGCATTGAGCGTTTAGTTTTTAAAAGTGTCTATCCTCTAACTGAACTAGGCTAAATAATTTTTGTTACTATAAAAAAATCAAAACGATGGTGGGGGGCGGTGCCGCGGTAGGCAAATGACGGAACCGGTGTTGCGGCTTAACACTGGTATAACCGAAAACACCGTCTACCGCAGCAAGCCTACCAGGCATCACAGTGCAGCAGTGTGTGTGTCAGTCGTTGCACCTCTGTGCAAGTGAAGCATGCAAGCAGCTCCCTCGCAGCTGCGAGGATTTAGCCAGAGACATTTATGGATATTTCAAAAACAGTACAAAACGTGTCGCACAGCTCCGAGAATTTCAAGACTTTTGCCATGTTGAGCCTCACAAACTACTGAAACTACTGCTGTCATTGAGCGAAGTTGTGAAACGTGTGTCCGCCCAGTGGAATGCCCTCTGTCTTTTTTTCACTGACCAGTGGCTCGAGGACAGATTGACCGCTGCAGAGAATATTTTTCACTCCCTTAATGATGAGTCTCTTCACCTGTACTACTATTTCCTAGAGTGGGCGCTTCCCAAGCATCAACCTTCCGGTCTCTCTCGTGAAACCAACACGGAAGTGACTAAAACTGCAATTCATCGACTGGCCGCTAGAGGCTGGCTCCAAAAGGGAGCACCATGTAAAAATGCCCAACTTTACAGCAGAAAAAAAAGTGTTTACAGCCTGGTACAAAAAATGGTTTTGGTCTATATAGCTAATTTTGCCCTTCATGACAACTGTGAGGGGAGTGAATTTTTTTTATAACTCATCCGTTTAAATTATATTAAGCCTTGAAATTCTGCATAATTAAGGGTGTGGCCACTTGAGTGACAGATGGATTGCCCCTGCTGTCACCACCGTCGAGCTAGGTGGGCGTGGTTTTAGCAACCAGCTCCCGCCTCTTTGCCCATTTTCGATTATCCGGGAGTGATGCGCAGTGACGCGCTGCCAAGGTGGCGACAGCCGGCTCCGCCCACTTTGAGAAAACGCTCTCCAGGAATCTACGGGTGACGTCACGGACACTACGTCCATGTTTTTATACAGTCTATGAGTCTATGGCGCTGCCTAAATTCACAGACCTTAATCAATATTTTCAAAGTGAAAAGGTGGTGATTGCTTCAGTGAAGAACAAGGTCTGTGAAACCTACAAAAATCTCCTCACCTTCATGGACAGAGACTATGTTCTGCACACTCAATCAGATCGACATAAATGACGGCCCAAAGCTCAGATTAAACACACTGTACTTGGGTGTAAAAGTGATGCAGCATGTCCAGCAGGCTAAGATTCCAGCAGCCACCCTGACAGATTTTCATGTGCGCTGTCAGAATTTTCAGGTCGGGTTGCCTGCGGAGAAATCAAGAAACGATTTTACTTTGATGATGCCCTCTTGACCCAAATCGTGTGCCTCTCCCCTGCCACCGCGACTGATGCCAAGGCATGTGCAGAGTATCCGTCTCTGCTTCCCCTCATGCAACAATTGTGCCACGGTTGATTGACAAGACAGACGCAGACCGTCTCCAAGCCATCAATGACCAGTGGAGGCGATTGCCACTAGTGGCCTTAAGCAAAGATACAAAGGCAATGGATGTTAATGAATTCTGGCACCATATTTCTACTTTACAGGATTTCGAGGGGGCAACCGTGTTCAGCGAATTGGGAAAGTTTGCCCTCGATGTTCTCGTGTTTCCCCATTCAAATGCGTCATGTGAACGTGTTTTTTCCAAAGTCAATCTCATCAAAACAAAGCCACGAAATCGGCTTATTACAGATACTCTGAATGGGCTCGTGCACACCTCAGAGTGTGTTAACATTTCGGGAGGGTGCACTGCTTTCAAGCCAACCAGCACTATGTTGCGGTCCATGACGGCGTCCAATTTGTACCGCAAAAGGACTCCCTCAACATCTGGCAACACGCAGGCATCCGATGACAGCGACTCGAAGGTGGAGTTTGAACCTTCCCACTAAGGTACGCATAATTTTTTATCCATTGTGGTAATTTGCACGTTGTGTCAAAACGTTGTTTATCGAGATAATAGCTGTATACTCTCCGTTTGACTTTTAATTATTGGAAGATAATTTTCTTCCAAATACGATCATTTTGAGGTTCTGATACGATACTTGGACATTTCCAATCTGGCAACACTGTGCCGCAATCATTTTCATACTACGGAAGCTAAATATTCTTGCAAACTGTCTAAACTGAATTATACGTGTCATGCAGACATTCGTATGAGGAGTTTAACAGCATATTAGTCATTCAGAGGACAAATTTTATTTTTAAACATGAAAAATTTACTGAGGTCCGGACCTCGGTGACCTGGCTACAGGCCTGACTACAACACTCAATGAAATAGCATTTCTTCATGGCTAGTGTTTGCATTTTTTTATTATTCTGTAATAGTGTTGGGCGATATGCTCAATTTTCATATCGTCCTATCGTCAGTCTGTGAGATCGCCGCTACACGATAACGTGCTCATTTATTTAATTATGTATTTAGTTTCATTGCCGGAAAGTGGACCAACTCCAGCGTAAGGCTAAAAACAGCATTTTTAATGTGACTGAATTTGTATTTAACATGATAACAATTCAATAGAAATATTGTACGTTACTAATTATAATGCTATATTTCCTCCGTTATTCAAAAAGCAGCTACAGAAAACGAGCAAAGAACATTTACATTACCAAAGAACATAATCACAAGCTCAGTCTAGCGCGTTTATGCACTTTAAAATACTATGAAAGTAAAATGACGTCAAAAAAATTGCATACGCAGGGTAATATTTGTGAAAGTGTACGTGACATTGCAAGCGTAAAATAAATTTGCATGCGCAAAATAAGTTTTGTAAAGGTGTAAATCAAGTTATACGCTCAAGAAAACAGGACTTGCATAATTTTACTATGTTTCGTAAGTGTAAATCATGTGTTGAAAAACTGCAACTTCAAATAAATATGATCTATATTCTTCTGACCTACGTTTTTTCCGCGCTTACACTTTTGGCACGTTTTTTGCGCTGAACTGCGGCCTCAAAAGCCTTGCAAGTTTGTAAACGGCAATTTGCAAGCAAAAACAGTGGTGTTAAGAACAGCAAAACGGATTCACGCTGAAGAATATGTCTCTGTGTGTAAAATAAAGCTGTTGCAAAGGTGTAAACAATGTGTTGCGTACGCAGGGCAAACCTTTTCCTGAAATAACCCGATATGCGCTGCACCGTCTTTCTTTTACCTGCGCTTGCAGTTTTGGCACGATTCTCTCACTTACTGGAGTTTGCAAGCGTGAGTGGGAAGGCGGGACTTATTTCTTGTAAACAATCAAACGAGATTCTTGTTGACTCTTTGTTTTCTATTACCTGATTGGCTCAATAACACGCCAGGAAGACGTCACTTGCGTCATTTCGGTTCAGCATCGTCCTCGTGGCAGTAGGAATGGTACTTTAATGCACAAACAGACAAATATAGATACATACACTAATTGACATGTGTTGATACTAAAATTTGACCTGGGGTTTCGTAAAGAAAATACCGTATTCAATTACCACTCCCTTACGAAAATAACCATGTTTTTTATAGTAAAAGTGTAGTAACCATGTTTTATGGCTTATTAATTACCACTGGCTGGTATAGCATTTATGTAGAAATGTAGCTCATATATCTGCTTACACCACTGAACGGACGCTACATTCTGAGAATTAACATTGTAATTCTTGTTGTCTTTTAAAGGCAGAGTAAGGGATTTCTGGTAGCCAATGTTGATATTTGAAATCACCAAAACAAACACGCCCCTACCCCAAAAGGGTCTTGCCCCTATTTTGATAGCTCCGCCCCACATATACGTATGCAACCCAGGCAACGATTAGTTCTGTGAAACAAAGCAAAACCAATGTTACACCGTGTCTACGGACGTAAGCGGCGCGGCTCAACAAATCCCGACAGAAAACTGCTGCCAGGTTCTATTTATGACGTGGAGTTAGTTTTTTTAAATGCACTCTCAAGTCAGGAAAATTTTCCACATGCTGTAATGGAGGGACTCAGAAAGGTTATTCAGATTATTGGTGAGATTAACCACAGCCAACAGTGTACTCACAACACTGTGAACTTTGAATATGGCAAGGTTAGGTGGCCAAAAGTACTGTTACCAGAAGAACGTCTTAGGGATCTAATTGCCATGTCTCTACCAGTGCCCTGCATTGCAAAATTGCTAGGAGTGAGCACAAGGACCATACAACGGAGAATGTCAGAAATAGGGTTGGCAGTGAGAGACACATACAGTAGTGTTTTGGATGAGGAGCTTGATGCATTAGTGTCAACAGTAAAATCCAGACACCCTTATGCTGGATATAGAATGGTGAAGGGTTTGCTGCAGGCTATGGGGCATAGAGTGCAGTGGGAAAGGATCCGGGCATCCATGCACCGAGTTGATAGTGCAGGCATTATTTCTAGACTGACACAGTTAGGGTGTGTTGTTCGTAGGACATATTCTGTGCCCAGCCCAGGAGCATTGATGCACATTGATACCAACCACAAGCTCATACGGTATGCATATGCTCATTAATGTCCGTCCCATGCACTGAACGCGCTCTCCTCCACATCACGAGTAGACACGCCCCTTATTGCTGATTGGCTACAAGTTTGTTTTTCGATAATTAACGAATCTAATTTCTATAGTGTTTAAGAAAAAAAACTTACTTGTCTTTTAAGGAAGTGTTGATGGATGCTATATTGGATAGGCTCCATTCACGGCTGTCCCATCTGCTTAATCGACCACCAATTGATTTTGACTTTTTGGAGTTTACCTGTACCCAGGAGTTAGTTTTTTTAAATGCACTCTCAAGTCAGGAAAATTTTCCACATGCTGTAATGGAGGGACTCAGAGAGGTTATTCAGATTATTGGTGAGATTAACCACAGCCAACAGTGTACTCACAACACTGTGAACTTTGAATATGGCAAGGTTAGGTGGCCAAAAGTACTGTTACCAGAAGAACGTCTTAGGGATCTAATTGCCATGTCTCTACCAGTGCCCTGCATTGCAAAATTGCTAGGAGTGAGCACAAGGACCATACAACGGAGAATGTCAGAAATAGGGTTGGCAGTGAGAGACACATACAGTAGTGTTTTGGATGAGGAGCTGGATGCATTAGTGTCAACAGTAAAATCCAGACACCCTTATGCTGGATATAGAATGGTGAAGGGTTTGCTGCAGGCTATGGGGCATAGAGTGCAGTGGGAAAGGATCCGGGCATCCATGCACCGAGTTGATAGTGCAGGCATTATTTCTAGACTGACACAGTTAGGGTGTGTTGTTCGTAGGACATATTCTGTGCCCAGCCCAGGAGCATTGATGCACATTGATACCAACCACAAGCTCATACGTTATGCATATGCTCATCCTGAAACTGTAACATAAATGTTATTATCTGACCTTTGATTTTCATTGTTTTAACTTTATATAAATTTCTCTAAAAAAAGATACAACATTGTGATATTCGGGGGTATCGATGGCTTTTCTAGAAAGGTATTTAAGTATATTTTACTACCCAACTTCCTAAAAATGTCAGGGTCTTTAAATGTAACCCTGTCTAATTATGGGAGCAAATAAAGTAGTCATAGTCAAAAAATGACAAAAGTAGGTAATTTGTGTTTATAGCTGTAAATTAAAGATTATATGATAGATTTCAATATAGAACTGTCAAATTCACTGAAATTATATACAATTTATTGACTCTACATTTTATTAATTTGCACAGAAAATACCGGACATTGGCTTCCTAAACAATAATTTCAATCTTTGTCTTACTAAGTCAATATTAAAGATATCAAAATTACATTGTCACAGAATGTACTCAGAATAATTGTATGTAGAATATATAAAATCACAAAAAAAGACTTTAGCTGGGTTCACCCAGGCAGGGTTTCACATTTCATATTGTATTGATATCACAATCACACACACTCTAGACTGAAACTGCCTATTTTTCGTATGCTACACAGATCATGTGCCTAGATGTTGCAACCAATAATCTGGCTTCAACCACCCTGTACTTTTTCCAGCGTTCTGTTCAAAAATTTGGTCTTCCACTTCGGTAAATATTGCCTATAATTAATTTGCTTATGTGTTAGAGCAGGGTACCAGAGCCTGCACTAATATATTATCCTGAACACATACATCCAGTGGTTCAACTTTGTTTTACTAGTGGAGGATAAACTAGTCTGTTTACTAACAGGCTTTGACATGCCTGTGTGAGAGTGTACTGATGTCTTTCAGATTGACAACTGCAATCACATACTTTATATTTTATTAGAAGTAAAATTGGTATTTGTACTAGTGTAAAGGAATGGTTGTTGTAAATTAGCCACATTTAAAATGTTCTATCTACATAATTTTTTTTAGGGTCAGGGGAGACCAAGGGGTTGAAAATGTAAATATAGAAATTTATCATACATTTTGTGCAATCAAACATCAGAAAAATAACCAACCAAAATAATTGATGTTAAAGCATTGTATAATTGAATATGTTTTTGGTTTAATTAAATGTTTTTTTCAGTCATCACAAAGGAATGCACCCCACACAAGGGGGCCTTACAACAAAAAAGTTTGAAAACCACTGCATTTAACAATTTATTCAGTGCAGTGCATTTGTAACTAAACATTTAATACATTACCAGAATAGAGAGGCTCTGGAGAGATATCTGGGTTGCAGTCACAAACATCTACTACAGTGTGCTTCATCAGTTGGAGGAAGAAGGGCAGCTGGATATGTCGAATCGTATGCATCTTTTCTGTTGTCACTATGTGTTCATTCCACGACTGCAAGCTCATCTGGACACCTTTCGCGATGGATGGGACAATCACCCTCTAAGTACAGAGGGAAATCTGACTCCAAATCAGCTGTGGGAGCTGGGAGGACATCAGGTCTTGAGTCTTCCAGAAAATGAGGTGTTGTATGTTATATGAATGCATGTCTCCTAACATTTAATAGAATTGAAAATTAACAAAGTTAAAAAAGTTTCACACATGGCAGGACTACATGACATGACAATTTCAGTTATTATTGTGTGATAAAAGTTAAGATATATTTTATCTCCTTGACATAGGACATCCACATTCCCTTGATTGACTGGGAAAGCAGTGGCCTACCACAAGAACCTAACTCAGGCATCCAAGTACCAGAAATAGAGTGCCCGCTAACTGCAGAGGCAGAAGGGGAACTTACGGTTGCGATCGATCTGATGGGCAGTGTTGGGAAGGTTACTTTGGAAATGTAATAGGTTACAGATTACAAGTTACCCTACATAAAATGTAATAAGTAGTGTAACTTTTCAATTACTTTATAAAAGTAATGTAACTGATTACATTTGATTACTTTTTGATTACTTTTCTAAATTTCTATTTTTCATTTTCAAACATGTAAACCAGGCAGGGTATACCTTACAGTAGGACTCAACACTGATTACTGTCACACTTTTGAAATCCTTCATCACTTGAATTAAGATTATATTTCAATTTTAAAGTAGGCATTGGATGCAAAATTCACTTTTACATGGTGTTTGCATATAAATGTATCTTAGCAGTATGTGGACACAACCACCCTACAATGATAAAAATCCATTCACTCCTTTTTTTTAATCCCCCAAAATCCTAAACAGTCTCAATTATCAAGCCGTTTTGATTTTCTGAGCAGTATGATGTCATATTGTTCAGGCCCCGCCCACAACCGCTGATGTACTGTCCAATATTAGCATGTTTTCGCCCTCAGCCAGTTGTACGAAGTACATCATTTTCTCCACGCTCCAGCAGCTGTAGCGACAATGTCTTGTAAGCAATGCAGGTGTTTTGTAGCTTTGTGATGTAGAAGAATATAAGAATCTTAATTTTCTCCCGACATCA